TTATCTTCCATGCAACCCTCATGTCCCGGAAATGTGTGTCTAATCTGTCCGTTTTTTTAGTTTGTAGCCTGAAATGTCCTGAGGAGTGTTTCATAAATACTTTTATTTTCAAACCAGATCGTCCAAGCATCGACTCATCGACATCCTCTCCGATATCGGTATCTTCTTGGGATAATCGCACCGTGAGCCTACGATGTATGGCCAGTGGTAATCCTACTCCTGAATTCACGTGGTCWAACCCTGACAAAGTCCCTATTAAATATGGCGTCAGTCCATTAAAAGGCGGTAGCCTTCTTACAATACAAACTAAGTATAAAACAGACTACGGTCAATATCGATGTCGTGCGTCTAATATGCAAGGTTATGTCTATGGATATATTGACGTGAAGAGAATTGGTGAGTCAACTGATACTCAACCAGTAATGCCTTGCGGCATAGTTATTGACTGTGCTTGGGGACTTGTGGGTAAAGTTTTATGATTCTTGTGCATTGAAAATGTTTCAAAAGACTTACAGATTTCACTTCAGTAACGTTTGGATGTTCAGCACTTCGGCAGGAACTTGCGAACTTCGTTACTTCACGTCCAACTTCACTGAACTTGGAAACGTTTTTGGGGAACTTTCGTTGTTGGTTTTTTTTCAAACTTCGACCGTTGAGAAACTTTCAGTTGTTGAGTTAACTATGACATAACGCGCGCATTGTTCTTTAGAACTTGTAAGAAAACGTATTGCATAGAAAAAGCGGCTTTCGAATGAAGAATTGATATTTTATCGAAAAGCTTTAGAMGATATTTTCTGTGTTTCCATACTCTATTATGGACTGTTGAGTGAACTACCGCGACTTTTAGCTCGATGAWTAAAAGCATTTTCTCGTCTTCTCCAAACAGTGTGTTTTCTTTCATAMWGSGCCTGTCCACAAAAAGATCTGATWWWAWATAGTATGTTTTTAAGGCGAAACCATATGTTTTGAGTTGACTTCACTTTCTTAAATATGTCTTCAGTTGTGCCACAACCACCAATCCTCTTAGACGTCACAAGTACAGTATCYACCATTGAAATAAAATGGAGACGACCAACCATCGATGGTGGGAGTGAGCTTATAGATTATTATGTATCAATTAGTAMCAGTCCACCTCGTGGTGTATCTATTAAAGAAACGTCCCTTATAATCGCTGGCTTAGCAAAGTCTACCAGGTATCGAGTCGACGTTTTGGCTAGAAATATTGTTGGCTACAGCAATGCAACAAGTCGATATATATCAACAAAAGAGAAAGGTAAGCACGTCAGATAATTCTTCGAGGCCTTTAATATTGTATTCGTGCAATCCTCCCATTACGTTCAATATCTTAGCCAGGCTTATGTATTGATCACATTTTAAACTTTATTGTAGTCACTTGTATAACGAAATCATTTGGTTTGACTTTTAACCAATCTTAGTTGTTTCCCTATGCATGTTTTCTTAATTTTTTGTTTCCATTCTAGATTGGTTCGCGGTTGATGAGCAAATATCAGGTATGGAATCACCTTTATTTGTTAGTCATATGTCGTAAGTAAATATCTTTGTGGCACGTCTTATATTGATATAAAATACACCAACCATCATTTTGTCTGCCAACCATTTCAAGTGACTGGAGCCTGTTCGTGAGCCAGAGTTCAGAGGATTTGCTGTAGTTTCACTTTAGACTTCCTTCGTTGCGATACGAATTATAGGATAGACGGAGTTTCTTAGCAATTTCTAATCAAATCCTACTGTGTCT